GATTTCATCTGCAATTTACGCTGTATGGAATTATCAGGGGGATAGTGTCAAGTCATTATGACTATATAGCTCTGGGAAGGGGGTCAGGATAAGGATTTGGGATGGGACGGTGGGAAGGTATGGTGCCCAATCACTAGGACGGTCGGGGATTGAACGCCGACCTGTTTGAAGCGAGACCGTCGCTCTACCGTCCTGTCCCAAATGGTTGAAATTTACGGTGTAATCAATGATTTATAATTGTTTCGCTTGTTAGCCCTATGTTAGGGCGGAATGTTGATTTGTTTTTCTCTGTGAGATAAAGCGGAATTTTTGGTTCTTCAATAAGTTATCATTTTACATTTTCCTTGCACAACAGTAATTTAAAATTGTCGTCAACAAGATATAATATATTCACCTAGTTGTGCTTGCGGGGGTTGAGCTCTGGCTCTTTCGGCCCGCCTCTCAACTGTCAATCAACTTATTTTTTTGTTTTCCACACACACAGGAAGCAGTTCGTAGGTCTAACTCCCAGGTACCTATATTTACTGCTAGGTGAACAAGAGCATCGGGGAGACAGAAACTCTGCCCATTTGTTTTCCGCCATCGCTGGGGATCGATTCCCTAGGATTACGAATCCCGAGCGCTGTCCACTCAGCCGTCAGGCCCCGATTTGTGTTGGTTCGAGGGTGGTTGTGATCTGCTCACTCCGGTACAAAGCAAGAGTGAAATTACCTGTACAGGCAACAGGATGTCATTAGTGTACATGTTCAATAGGAGTGAACACATCACAATAGGAGTGACACATCACAATAGGAGTGAACACATCACAATAGGAGTGACACATCACAATAGGAGTGAACACATCACAATAGGAGTGACACATCACAATAGGAGTGAACACATCACAATAGGAGTGAACACATCACAATTGGAGTGACACACATCACAATAGGAGTGACACACATCACAATAGGAGTGAACACATCACAATAGGAGTGAACACATTACAATTGGAGTGACACACATCACAATAGGAGTGACACACATCACAATAGGAATGAACACATCACAATAGGAGTGAACACATTACAATAGGAGTGACACACATCGCAATAGTAGTGACTTTCGGAGAATTTTTCAAAAGTCTTTCCGGCTTTCCGCAAATGTTGAGACCTAAATCCATGCCTTCCTGGCTGCCTCCCTCCCTGCCTGTCTTTCTGCCCTTCTCCCTGTCTTTCTGCCCTTCTCCCTGCCTGCCTGCCTGTCTGCCTTCTTCTCTGCCTGCCTGTCTGTCTTCCACCCTACCTGCCTTCCTCCCTGCCTACCTTCCTCCCTACCTGCCTACCTCCCTACCTAACCTACCTACCTATCTGCCGCGTAAGGTCATGGCAGCTGCAGGAGATCAATAGAACAATACAGCGCAGCGAGGCACCCTGGTGACCGCCTCGACATACTCTCCATAATGCACGTTCGTATCCCGCATCGCCATACCCAATTACATTAATCAACCTAAACAGTGGGAACTGGACCGAAATAACTGAGATAGTGGGAGTTAAAATCCTTGAGGGACGATGTAAACAAGAGAAAACGGTGAGAGGAAACCCAATTAAAAAGAGGAGATACTAAAGGAGATATGGGACGTCTATCCTAACTTCTCTTGTTACTGCCAATATGCTAATAATAATGAACAAATCCATTGGAGCAGTTCAATTCAATTTCTTATCACTGAGTACAAGACACCCTAGGAAGGAAGGAAGCTATCAGGAGAAGGCGCCAAGTCATTACTAGGAAGGGAAGGATGAGGCTTTGGGATGGGACGGGCAGGAAGCAATAGTGCCTAGCCACTTGGACGGTCGGGGATTGAACGCTGACCTGCATTCAGGTCGGTCCTTGCTAGTCTTTCATGTCGCATCTTATCAAAAGCTTTAGCAAAGCCCATTTATACTAGATTTACTGATATACGCACCCTAGGAACGAGTACGAATTAAATACATATAAACACCACAATTTGCATACCCCACCCTCCACCCAAAGACTACTGTGCTGTAACGGTTCTGTTGTTACGTAAAGTATGGAGACAATAAGCACAAACACTAAGATAATATATATATTTGGTCGAATATACAGAGGTACGCAGGTGATACTATGGTGTGAGTTGAGGGCACTGAGCGTCGGTATAGTATCTCGCAAGTGTCTGTTCTAAACCACACTTGAAAGTAGACTAGTTATTATTCGATTGATAAAGATTAGGCCACCCAAAAGGTGGCACGGGCATGAATAGCCCGTAAGTGGTGGCCCTTTTGAGCCATTGCCAGTATCAAGAGCTGATACTGGAGATCTGTAGAGGTGCGACTGCACCCTGCGTGACGGGAGATGTCTCCCCGAACCTGGAAGAGTTATTATTCGCCACTCTGCTGCTTTTATGCTCGGGCAACACCTCGCCGTTCTCCAAAGGTTGACAGGAATAGTATGTGGAAGCTGGGAAAGGTTTGAGTTCCATAATTAGTACCAAGAAGAGCTTTGCTTCTCTCATTAATAATAATATAATAATAATTTTTATTTAGGTAAGGTACATACATAAAGAGATTTTACAAAGTTTGTTGGCTTTATAGATAGAGCTAGTACATACAATGCCTAAAGCCACTATTACGCAAAGCGTTTCGGGCAGAAAGGCTAATGCGGCTAATGCGTTTGGAGCGAGTATATTATTGGGATAATCTACTCGCTACAGTGCAATTAATCCACCGACTCCTTATTTCCTCGTGATCTTTGTATTTTCTTAGAAAACTACTTACTGAATTTACTTCCTTTATCTCGTCTCTTAACCCATCAAATTTGTTTGCAAGTCTTAAAAGCTAACGAGTGTCTTCCAGGCATCTCCAGTTCCTTTGTGTCTTTAGCTTCCACTCATAATTCCTCGTGTCTCATTCTCATTATATCCACCGTTTCAACTCTTCTCATTTTCTTTATTATTGTGTACGTTTTTATTTTCATATCCTTCATTTTCTTCTTTGACGCAGCGTCGTTCGTAGAAAATGGGCAGTGTTCAGTGATGGGCAGTCTGTTTTATAGGGTTTGGTTAGCTTGTTTTACTCTCATTCCCACTTGTTGTGCAACTTTCAGTGAATGATGGATTCTAACTTCAAGGGTCCTTTTCTTCATCAATCTGCCCCCACATGACAAGGCCTTGGATTTCTCGATATTAAAACGCATTTGACAGTCTTCTGACCATTTGTAGAGTTCATGTAAGATCTTTGTAATTCCTCAATATCATTTTGACTTCCCACTTTACCATAGGTCTTAGTGTCATCTGCAAATTTGATGATGTGGTTTGTAATATTTTTATCTATGTCAATGATGTATATGGTAAAAAAAAGTTGGCCCTAAAATGGACCCCTGTGGTACCCCACTTTCCACGTTTCTCAAGTTAAATTTATTTCCGTTTAATATGACCTTTTTTTTTTCTTTGTTTTAACTATTGTTTTATCCATTCTAGTATTCTACCATTTATTCCATGAGTCTGTAATTTCCTTGCTAGTCTTTCATGTCGTATCTTATCAAAAGCTTTAGCAAAGTCCATGTATATTTGTATATGCAAGTCCTCTGTATAAACATGAAAGGTCCACGGCTACTTAATATCCTCCCAGCAAACATGAGAAATAGTGCTGTACAGAATTGGAATTGTTCAAGATGAACGTTGACACATTCCTACAAGAAATACTGGACCAATCAGATCGTAGTGGATATGTGGAAGTACAGGCTGCTCGAAGCCAAAGCCAGCTGAACCAATTCAAGCCTGGCTCCAGAATGGGCTTGGGTTGTAAAGAACTCCTAGCACTCACTCCGGATATGATGCCACTCAGGTGGCAACTCAATGTCACTACTGGGGACATTGGAGAGCTCTCTCGGCAGGGTTAGGGGATCAAAGGGGCAAGACAAAGGAAAAGCTTTGCAAGAGTCCAACACAGCCGGAGCCATAGAGCTCACAGGTAGCACTCCCTCAATGGAGGTGAAACTGATTTTCCATACTAGTCAAACTCAAAGACCTTATCACCTGCCTCACAAGTCCAAGATTGAGAAGAGTTGTCATTAACCATAGATATGCAGTTGGAAAAGGCTGGACCCCAAACCAAAGGGATACCACCTTGAAAGGAAGCGAGACGAACCATACGCTGACACAGGAAAATGGGCACTGACTAAAGCAGTGCTCTCCACTTTCAACAGGAAGTCAATTTTAAATTTAAATTTTGCCCCGAGGGGCGAGTTTATTGGGCAGCGCCAATCATCTTGTGTGTGGACATACCCCCCATAGCAACATGTACATCACTCCCGAAAAGGAAGAAAACCAATGGATCAAATATTCTCCAACGCCGGTACAACTATAGTGTGTCCTCACTTGAAGGAGTGGCCCCTCTGGCAGGTGACCCGATGACTTGAACATGATCCCTACATTTGTTTCCTTATATGTATGTCCCAACAGAGCAAAGAGTGGGAGCCCCAAGGCAAAACATGTCAGCCTGCAGGAACAGCTCATTAGCCTTTCACAAAGGCTAAATGCCTTGCTAAATCACCTGAAGGGCTAAATGCTCAAAATTTTAATTTAAGTCAGAAATCTGATGATACCAGGTACAATGTATTACAATGTATATTAAATTTGGATCTAAAAAAAAACAGATATCTTACATTCTTGCACAGCCACTAGCACGCGTAGCAATTCGGACAGGTCCTTAATCCTATTTTCCCAGAATATGACGTGCCAAATCATTTAACCACCAGATACCCATTCACTGCTGGGTGAACAGGGGCCCAGTTAAGGACTGGCACCCGGTCAATCCTCCCTGTCCATGATACGAACCCAGGCCAGAGTGCTTGTGAAGCGCCGGCGAGTGCTTTACCACTATGCCATAGAGACTGTTTCAGGTTCAAGACTCTTTTTCAGCTTTAAATGTTTTGGCTCAACGCAGAGACTACCTGTACTTCATGTTATTTTTTCATTGTTGGAAGAGGGCAAAAAATGCTCATTAATCTATAATAAATTTTATTTAATTTGTTTAATATCCAATTATTGCTGGAATATGGAAATCTGTATTCTCATTTGCCTAGGGGCCTAGAGGAGTTTTTAATGTGAAACAACTTGTTATATTATTCCAATAATGACCTAACTTCGGTGGCCCAGAAGTTTTAATTTCTAAAGATATTGACAACCTTTGTCATTTGCATACAAGATATAAAATTGCTGAATAAATATGAGACTACAAAGTACTTTACAAAGGAGGAAAAAAGTGCTATTATCTGAACTAGTAAATAGATGCTGTGAGCAAATTAGGTCCTTACAGAATGCGAAGTAATGCCAACATTATAATCCGTACTTGGATAAACAGTATGTATATATTTAATGCAGATTACATAGCAAGAAGGTACATAGTGTTTTCACAAAATAAAATGCATTTCTCATACATTGAGTTATCAAGAGAACTTTAATATCTTTAGGTCATGGGGAGTAATTTGCAACGTAATTTCCACTTTTGCCAACATTACAATTATTCACCTAATCAATTTTTCCATCCCATATTTCTGTACAGAAACATTCCAAGCAAAACATGATCAACATAGTTTAACAATCACTGCTTCCAATATATATTACAACATTTCTTAATTTTACACAAAAACAATATCTCCACCTTATAAAAAAATAATCCTTTACTTGTTTTTACAAAGAAACATAACAGTGTGACCTTCTCAGTAGCACAAGACCTCACTCCCAATAAATGGCAAAGAAGACTAACACTAACCATTTACTACCATTCTAATGATATAATTATACATAAGTGCAAAGACTGATAAGCCTTGAGAAGACAAGGTCTAAATGCACTTCTTTTTTTTAGGATGAATTAAGGTACATTGCTTGATCCGTGTCTTTGAGGACTGCTTATTATAGTAGTGGGAATGGTTTAAGGAGCTGAATACTCAACTGTATGGTGGCTCGATGAAATAAGTGTGTGGTATCAAGACTAGTCCAGTTACATGGTGTCTCACTGGGTCGAGCTTATGAGAGGCTCTTCACAGACCCCAGAGAACGGGATTCATAAGAGCACTTGCATATCAACTGAAGCGTTAGAGTACGATAACTCTTCTTATGCGGCCTAGTCAACACCACTTACTACCCAGTGGGTACTGTTGGTTGGAAGCGACCAGCGTTACATACAGTTTAGTATGTTACGTTTTCACAAACGTTTTAGCACTCACAAGCTCCAAAGAGTTACAAGGGTGTCCGTAACAATAAGTAACCCTAGGATGAGGATGACCTCTCGGTAATTAAGAACTCTGAAGTGGACACGAAGTGCTTTGTGAATCCTGACCCAGGTCACTTGCATCACTGAGATCATATATACAAGAACTCCCCAGTGTTGTGATAACACAGAAACACACTGTATTGATATATTTTGTTCATGAATGCTTCTTCAAAAGCTTTGCTCTTTGGAGAGACATTTCCCTGCAAATGCAGCTTCCTCTAAGCTTATGTGACAGCCTTTATTATAAATAACCAAATATTTTAAAGGTGGCCAAATAATAAAACTATAATGTGATTAATCACAGGAAACAATTACACTCTCAGCCATCAAACAAAATCTGATGCTTACACAAAAAGTATTTTGTGTAATGTAATTATCAGTGCTAAACCAGGAAAGCTACAACACATCCTTGTAAAAAAAAAAAGAAGCAACAAAGTTTTGCAACTGTATCGGTCTGCACAGAGTACCTCAATTTAAAGCAGGCAAATCTTCGATTAATAGATTGCCACCAACTTTTTGCCGAGTCGAATCTCAAAACAAAATTAACTGAAGAAACAAGGCCTTAAATTTGATGATTTAGATCTTGCCTCTTCTATACAATTATCTGACACCTCTCACTGCATCATGATCTCTCATGAAAGAACTTGGAAATGCAATTAAATGTATAGCTAGGATTGGATAACTCATTATCACACTTGACATTTTTCTCCTCTTTCAGTATTCGCAGGTACAGTATTCATTATGGTCACTAATATTTTTTGGGTTGGGGAAAGCAGGAGTATTTGCACAGGTAACTGAAATACATGTCTTATTTCTTTGTAGTAATAAAGAAATCTGAAGCTGGTATAATTTATTTCTGTCCCAGGCATGAGTGATAGAAACAGAAACGAAATTCTTTCAGGCAATATATGAAGTCACCAAATACTTTTCCGCTGGTGGCATTCTCCCAAGCGCAAACGCCAACAGCAGTGTCAACTCCCACAGCATGCCTGTACACTACCTAGTGTCAACTCCCACAGCATGCTTGTACACTGCCTAGTGTCAACTCCTACAGCATGCTTGTACACTGCCTAGTGTCAACTCCCACTGCATGTGTGTACACTGCCTAGTATCAACTCCCACAGCATGCCTGTACACTGCCTAGTATCAACTCCCACAGCATGCTTGTACACTGCCTAGTGTCAACTCCCACAGCATGCTTGTACACTGCCTAGTGTCAACTCCCACAGCATGCTTGTACACTGCCTAGTGTCAACTCCCACTGCATGTGTGTACAATAAGCTACCCACTCTAGAGGTGCTGGGTAAAGGAACTCTCACTTAAACAGAAACAAGTGACTAGCACGCTGTAATACCTGGTACTTGCTCCCACCAGCTATAAAGTTAGCGAAGTAAGGGAGGAAAGAATGATTTAAATATTAACATAATTATACAAATGTAAACAACAACAAAAATTGGTTAAATAAAATCATTCAAAATGACATTCCAAAAATTATAAAGTGAGTGTTTAACTAAAAATAATAAATTACAAAAATATATAGACTTCAAACTTATATGAATCCTTATAAATAATGTATCATTAAGTACAGTACTGCTTTAAACTTAATTACTGTACCTGTCTTTTATTTAAATGGCCTGCTTATTCAGCACCAATATTTACAGATAAATATTATATCGGATACCAAAATATACAGTCAATACCATTATTAACACCTCACAGCCTCTGGAAAAAAATCTAAACAGTGATTGGAGAAGCTTATAAATTTAACTTTTTTGGGGGGGAATGGACACTGTTGAATTCCTTAACTATAGCAGGTCAAAGTATTTTATCCGATATGTCAGATTAGAGCTTATAAATTTAACTTTTTGGGGGAAAAGGGACACTGTTGAATTGCTTTACTATAGCAAGTCAAAGTATTTTATCTGGTATGTCATTAATACTAAACAAAAATTATCTACAAGTAATTTACAAACAAATAATATTTTATGAAATATAATACCAAACTCTGATTTGTTCTGGTATAACTTTTTGTCTTCACAACCAGAGTGACTCCATGTGAATAAATTTTATTCCTTCCCACAAACACATTGGCTTCATATCAATAAATTCTTTCCTTCCCAGAATCACAGTGGCCCCATACAAATAATTTTTTTTCCTTCCCAGAATCACATGTGGCTCCATATAAATAAATCCCTTTTTTCCCCACAATCACAGTCACTCCATATAAATAAATCCATTACCTCATTACAATCATTTACCAATTCTGTACAAAAGCAGAAGTCTCTGAATATGATAGAAGTATACCATTTTACAGTTATCCCCCCATTTTGCTAAATCTTTACAGATGTATTTCTTAAGATAAAAGCAGATCATACGCCAATTCTGTATGATACTCTGACATTAACACAAGCATCCCTATACAATGGCATTGTAATTCAGTAGTCTGCTTATCTGCCATTTTACAGTGATATGCTCAATGCTTTATACATCATGAATTTTAGGTTACCAAATACTTCTTATTTGTTTGGCCGCTCCAAGCAACAGCCTGGTGGACCAAACTCTCACAAGTCGAGCCTGGCCTCGGGCCGGGCTTGGGGAGTAGAAGAACTCCCAGAACCCCATCAAGCAGGTATCAAGCAGGTGTTTTATAAACAAAATTTAGTCTTGAGGCTAAACAATTAGGTCAGGTAGCCCTTCAGCCTTACAAAAATTTCATCTTTCATTGTCATGAGTGACAAGTAACCTGGTCAAATCTAATCAAATCACCCCTTCACGTAACATTGGATCAATCAATGCCGATCCTCCGTCGATTAAATATGACGCAAGCACGGTTCTCCAGCTGTGTAACATAAAGTTAGAATTGAATGGTGAAAGTTTGTCAAACAATAGTCCATTTTGTATTTCTCACTTACAATGTTGAATGGCTGAGCGAGTCTGCTTAAAACTTTTAAATAGAATTGGCATTTTTTTTCCCTGTGGTATAAAATATGGACTGTTGTAAAAGAAAAAATTTTACTAAAATTCTACAGGACATAAGAAAAAGTGAGACAGACTAACCATAAACCTATCTTTTCCTAGCCTTACTTTAGTGCCTATGTACTAAAAAAAATATGCCTAGGAAAATTTTCATTTGGCTATTGCCTTCTTTTGCAGGCCCTGGCCCTGTACAAGCTTAATACAGTACTTCAAATCATGGACATTTTTATGGTACAATAGTCCAAATTTTTATGCTAGCATCCATAGTAGCTATATGTAATATCTTTTTGAATGGCAGTTTGTAAGACGATAATTTAACTGAATGTAATGGCAGTTTGTAAGACGATAATTTAACTGAATGTATTAACCAAAAATTATTAATACATTTAGCATTCTTCCATATATCAATAAAAACAAAATTTAAGATAATCAGCATTAGTAGCATTGAAACATTGTCAAAAACAACTCTATACCTAAATACACTGTTCTCAAATATTTTCAAAGCAAGTAATTTTAAAGACTATACAAATTAAATGTAAAAAAGGCATGATTTTCTGGTTATGTGATAAGGTCTTCAAGCTTCAAGTTGTCAGGTTTCTGGCAACTGCACTTTACAGAGCCCAAATCTTTTTCAATTGGCTATTAAATACTGTAAATAACAATAGAACACAAATATTTCTTTGTCATAACAATCGTGAAACCTTCACTAGAACACTGTAATTTGAAAAATGTTAAAACCTTTACCATGTAATGTGCATGAGCAGAAGTTTAGAACAGATGAAATGATGCTATTGAGAAATACCTGTAGCAATTAAGACACTACATGGTGCTTTCTCACTCTTCAAGCCAAAGGAAAATCAACAAAATACTAATTGTTGGGAGTGTGAATAAATTTAACCTTTGCACTTTTAAGACAAGCTTGCAAAAATTTGTGACAACTGTGTTTTAGTGATTCATAGTTCTGATAATATCAATTGTTAGATTTCACTTATATTTATGAAACAAATACCTATTTGTACTTTAATATACTAAGCTAAAATCAGCTTTCAAATGCAGTTTATGAAGGGCATGAATAAATATGGAGCCAACAATGGATATGTGTGTGTGTGTGTGTGTGTGTGGGTATATGAGCGAGAAGAGAGCTATGAGGAGAAAGCGCCAAACCGTTACGACTATATAGCACTTGGAAGGGGTCAGAGTAAGGATTTGGGATGGGACGGGGGATGGAATGGTGCCCAACTACTTGGATGGTCGGGGATTGAATGGCAACCTGCATGAAACGAGACCGTCACTCTACCGTCCAGCCTTAGTAGTTGGACGGTATGAGTGAGAGACAAACAAGAAAGCAGAGGTGAAAATTGCTACACCACCATTAGGTAATGCTACCAGCATGTCCCGAGCACTTCAATAAGTCAAGGGGTCTTGGCAAGATTTGACTGTACATATTGATGCCCCACCCCACAAGCTTAAGAAAGATGGAGGAATGACCCATGCTACTAAATTCTCTTAGAAATGTATAAATTTGTTTATGGTAACACATAAGGAGTATTAGTAGATTGTCTGAATATTCATTTGTATTCAAGTGAACCATATACAAAATACTACTTCATACATCTGGTAAGACAATGAATATGGTGAATAAATGTGACTTCTAATTCAATAACTAGACAAATGTAATGGTTTGAAAAAAAAAGGCACTCCAGATAAATCCACCAAAAAATAATGTAACTTCAATAGAAAACTTAATTAATCAGCCTTATTCTCTGCCATCTCTTTACTGAATGGCAAAACCATCAATACAGCACAAGCACCGAAGTCTTTGACAACCACTCCACTGTACATTGTATAGAGGAAGCGTCAGTGGAAAGAAGGAATGGAGTAGAGTCAATAATTATCCATTCCAGGTGATTAATTTCGTGTTATATATTATGTATCTATATTTATGTACACATGAACAGAGGCTCTGTCTCCAAGAAGGACTTAACCATCCTTCAGGAGTCATAAGCCACAAATCTTCCTATAATCAGAAGTGCTAGTCCAAACGAGAGTACATATCATGGACACTGTGCTCATAGTGGTGATTGAGCTGCTGACGTCGGAGCTTCAATGCCGCTGTCACCAGGCCAGTGTCAGGCGTCCATGGCTCCAATGTCAGGTATACAGCAGCAGGAACCTCCCACCTCGTCAAGCCACACTTCTTCCCGTGGCTTTGAAGCTCCTTCAGGATGGCCTCATTAATTCTTTCATCTGCACACAACTCCTCAATAGTAACAGTGTCCTTGTTGATGCCTACGCTTGCTGCCACCTTCCACAGACGCTCTGCGGAAGGCACCACCACAGCCACCGTCTTGTCTTTGGTCGAGTCTGCAAAAACGCAGATATTTTCTACATTTGACAAAGTCTTAAGTTTGGACTCTGCATTTCCCAGTGACACATACTCGCCATGTTTCAGCTTTACTAAATCTTTTTTTCGATCGATGATTTTCAGTGACCCTAAATTATTTATCTCACCAATATCACCTGTACTGAACCATCTTAACCCATTTTCTTCGTAAAAGGAAGCTTCATTCTCTTCAGGTAGCTTGAAGTAGCCTTTACTAACCACTGTTCCTCCAACTACAATTTCTCCCCTAGGGTTAGGTTTGTCAGTCACTCTGTAGTTTCCTTCCTCCCAGTCAACAAGCTTCATGAGTACCCCAAGGTTGGGGCCCCCAGAATGACCTGTACTGGTGTCGTCCTCATCCATACCTGAGATGCACGAGGCTGTTTCTGTGGATCCATAACCAACCTGGATGGACACATCAAATATGGCTCTCATTGTGTCGTGGGTCTGAGGTGTCAAGGGGGCACCTCCAACGACCACCCTCTTCAACTGGCCTCCCAGCTCCTCCTGGACTTTCCTGAAGACGAATGCATTCAAAAAGTAGGATGTAAATGGAATGTACTCCAGCCAGAATTTGTACCTTACAGCCTCATTGAACACTAGGCTCTTGATCCATCCCTGTTGTTCCACCTTCTGGTAAACACCTTTGATGATGCGATCCAAAACAAGCGGAACAGTGTTCATGACTGTCGGCTTAGCCACTTTGGCATCACCTTCGGTGCCATGCATGACCTTGGGACTGGTGCTAGTTAGTGTGTGGGGGGATGAATACAAGATGGTGGCACCCAAAGAAATTAGTGCAATCTCTGTGGCCAGCTCCATGATATGTGCCAGAGGCAAGAAAGAAAGGTATCGGTCCTCCATACCGACATTCATCTGGACGGAATAACCAATGACACTGGCCAAAATGTTTGTATGTGAGAGTTCGACACCTTTGGGTGTCCCTGTGGAGCCGCTGGTGTACATGATGATGGCAGTGTCCTCAGCATCAGGTACAGGTGTGGACACACTAGATGTCTGGTCATCTTGCTTAATTAACTTCTTAAAGGGTACTAATGTGACATTTGAAGGAAATTTACTCACATCACCAACACCATCAAGCTGATCTTCCATGACAACCACCGTCTTTACCTTGGGACACTGATCCAAGACACGTATTACTCGTGGTAAGAGGTCATACGACGTGAAGACAAACGACACCTCTGTCTCGTTTATGCCATGAGCGACACCTGCGTCAGTAAGGGTGGTGTAAAGGGTGACAACAGTGATGCGGTGTTGCAGACACCCCATAGCTGCCACCAACCACTCTGCCCTTGTTTCGGCAAAGATCACCACTCTGTCCAGTGGCTGGAGACCTCTCACCCTCACGCCTAGTCCAACGTCCACAGCCATTTGCTGCACCTCTGAGTATGATTTCCAAGTGTACTCCCCAAGTCTGAGCTTTTCAAACATTTTCCCATTTTTTTCCGTTCTCTCCCTGTCCAGCAGCTGCCGTGTGGCCATGCAGGACTTGGACCCATGAACAGAGGCACCATACTGCAGTGCTCCAGGCAGTGTTGTGACACCAGCCTTGCGGAACTTGGGAGCCAAGCCCGAGTCTAGAGGGTAACACTCCCCAGACGGGGTCGCCTTCACATACCATCCCTCAGAAGTCTTCACGCCACGCATTGCCATCCTGCAACTGGAGAGAGGCAGTTAGTAGATGCATCAAAACAGTTCTATGGCAAAAATCCTACAAGTTCAATATATAATTTTTATTTTGAGTTTACTCCTGCCCCCCCCCTCACCAACACCCTTCTTCCTCTTTATGTGTACACGAGATGCTTCTTGTAAAAGAGGGATTTCACCAAACTTTTAAAAAACTACCAGTCTAAAAATCTACTAAAAATCTACCAAGAAATCTGCCTATTTTTAGGCAGCAGGAAATTACTAACAATGACATGTACACTTTCTTGTATATAAATAAAAATAAAAAAAAATTATCAACTCAATACTTTCCTCTCCTACTGTGACACCTGAACGTCCTGATACTGCCTCTGATTCACCTCAGCAATCCCCACTTACTCAAGGCAATCCCTAATCTCACCTCGAAACTCTACCCTTCTGAGGACTTTGAGCAACTTGACCCTACAATTGCCCCATCTGAGTTAACCTCACATAACCTATCCTCATCAACAAGCTCCATTATACTGTAGCTGTGCTTGTCTCCAAAGCTCCATTTTTTTTCTGTCCATTACTATCATATTTTTATAACTAATATTAGTACCTAGCAAACATTAAGTGATTGAACAAATCCACAAGGGCCGAACAACCCTTGTGTTGTGCATTTGTGGATTTTCGGCCCTTGTGGATTTTGTTCATTTGATGCATCATGCTATTGTGATTTGTGTGTGTAATTAAGTGATTGATTTATGATTCATCTGTCAGTCTTGACTCATCACTGTCAAATCATGATTTATGATTCATCTGTCAATCATGATTTATGATTCATCTGTCAATCATGATTTATGATTCATCTGTCAATCATGATTTATGATTCATCTGTCAATCATGATTTATGATTCATCTGTCAATCATGATTTATGATTCATCTGTCAATCATGATTTATGATTCATCTGTCAATCATGATTTATGATTCATCTGTCAATCATGATTTATGATTCATCTGTCTAGCATGATTTATGATTCACCTGTCAATTAGTGTTCCTTTTCATTTCCAGCTCAGTTAACCTTTCAATAGACTAATTTATTTTCTCATCAGATCATTAACTTTTTATTAATTTACATTGATCTCAATTATTATTGTTTTTGCTTCAACATTCAAGTCTCTATTACCGTATTAGTATATAGTTTTATCTATTCCCATTTTATTCATTTTAAGTATCTAGTTCCAATTTTATGCAACTGTTAACAGTATTATAATTATTTTTTGTATTTACCCCATCTGTAAATCATAGTTTTAGTAGCATGTTATCTATCTCGCTGTAATCAGTGTATGACTGCAATTAAGCATTGACCCTAAATTAAACCTCTTATGAAATATCTATGAAATTACCAATTCAATGATAATAATTTGAAGTACTATGCAGGAAACTTTGCCAATAATGGCAAAGTTCACCATATTCTTAACTTTAATGTTAGGTCTGGAAGCAAACACTGTGAAGATGGTGATGCTCTTACTGCAAGCACTGAACAATACATTCTCTTTTATTGTCCATATTGAGACCTGGCTGAATAATGAATCAACTCAACAATTGAACATTCACAATTGCTCAACTATCCCCCAACTGTAGACCTAGCCAGAGAGGTGGCGGTACAGTAATTTACTACCGCTAAGAGCTATCAAACTCAAAAGTTATCAAAATTAGAGACACCTGTGAGAGTACATATCTTCCCAGTTCAAAATCAAGGGCTTGGTTACTAACTTAATTTTGGGAGCGATCTACAAAATTCCAAACACTGATGTAACTGAATTCAACTCTAACCTTATCACCTTATTATTAAGTAATAATGATAATAATAATAATAATAATAATAATAATAATAATAATGCAAAGGAATCACATTAACATGATGTATAATTAAGAAAATAATAATAAATGAATAATAATAAATAAATTTTTATTCAGGTAAGGTACATACATACAAGGTAAGATACAAAAGTTGATGGATTATAGATAGAGCTAGTACATACAATGCCTAAAGCCACTATTACGCAAAGCGTTTCGGGCAAAGAAAATCAGAAAAGCCATAATGAGGATGTGAACATGTACACTGAGTACTGCAAATGCTGGACCAACCAGGCAGTAGTTAATATGTGGGCCTGCGGGCCACTCCCAAGTAACAACCTGTTGGACCAAGTTATCACAAGATAACAATAGGTAAGGTAAGGTAATTATCAGGAGAAAGCACCAAGTCATTACGACTATATAGCACTTGGAAGGGGTCAGGATAAGGATTTGGGATGGGACGGGGGGGAAGGAAGGGTGCCCAACCACTTGGACGGTCGGGGATTGAACGCCGACCTGCATGAAGCGAGACCGTCGCTATACCGTCCAGCCCAAGTGGTTTGGCCTAACAATAGATAACCCCTTATAACAAGATAGGGGAGTGAAAAAACTCCCAGAACCCTCTCCAGATTCCAAATCCAAGTACTGTACATGTACTACGAAACATTCACCCTAAATAACTTAGCCACGACATGCTTAAAAGCAATGCAACCTGGGATTCAACTGCATCCTCTAGAGGTCCCAAGGCTTCCACTGAAGCCCAATTAGGACTTCTCACATTGCCCACATGTACTCTGACTGTTGTATAGGAGACTATCCCCAACGCTTCTTTTCAAATACACAAAGAATACCACAGCCAGAGTGCATGCGGGCAAGGTGTGGAACCCTGATTGGGCTTCAGTGGAAGCCTCGGGACCCCTAGAGGATTCAGTTGAATCCCAGGTTGCATTGCTTTTAAGCATGTCGTGGCTGAGTTGTTTAGGGTGTGTGCTCAGGAGTACCCAGTATGCAGGTTCAAATCCTCACAACGGCACCTACTGATTTTCTCAATAAGATTATTTATTTAGGCAAGGGTATATACATATACTGTATATGGTACATTAACTATAGAGGATTCATACGTAAGATAAGTACAGTGCCTAAAGCTACTAATACACAGCATTTCAGGTATAACATAAAAATTAAAACAATATATAAGCTTAATGGGGTAACTCTTAAAAACTATTTGAGACACAATAACATTCATGAGCTGATGGAGAATACAGCAAGTGTCTGTATTCCTAAGAAGCAAGCAAGGTAAGTATTGCCAACCTAATAAAAATTATTCCCTTTCAAATTAAAATATATTTATTTACGTAACATATTATTTAATTTAATTCCATGTGGCGTTCTGCATTTTTCAACTGCATATAGCATTTTCTATTTTTTCAAGGAGCATTTGCCGCATGAAAATGTTTCCCTTTAATATGTAACAGTCCATCTGCAGTAACCTCGTTCCACCCTCTTGCACAATAAAATGAAATGTCACTGCCAGACATAAGATGAAAACAAATAATTTAACAATGTTACTCCCCTTTTTCCAAAACCATGTAAATAAGATTCAGATCAATCTGATATGTTGTGGAAAGTGTTCTGATGCTGGGTTATCCCATCAATAATACAATAATTAATAATAATAATAATAATAATAATAATAATAATAATAATAATAATAATAATACCTGTAATAATAATAATAATAATAATTCTTTGTGTCAGGGGACAGGCAGCCAGAGTGTATTTATGTTAGGCTTATATCGAGGTGCAAAAAGTTTATTGTTGGGAAGGAGAAGAGAGAGTAGGGAAAGAGAGGGTAGAGAGAGAGAGAGTTGGGAGAGGGAGCGAAAAGAGAGAGGGTGGAAAAGAAAGAGGGGGAAAGCGAGACAAGGAAAGATAAGGGAAGTGAAACAGGGAAAAAGAGACGAGTGAAGAGAGAGACGGGGGGAAAAAGAGAGAGAGGTGGGGAAGAGTGAGTGATTGAGGAAAGAGAGAAAGAGAGACAAGGTGAAGAGAAAGACGTGGGGAAAAATGAGAGACGGGGGGAAACAAGCGAGATGGGGGGGGGGGAAAGAGAGAGGGGGAAGACACACACAAAACATGATCAAGACAAAATACCTAGTGGGATTAACAGAGTAGAGAAGGAAAATCATAATGAATACTGGTAGAACAAGAGGCTATCGGTGAATGTTTAAAACACAGACGAGTCAGATACAATAAAGAGTATTTTTTTTCTTTAGCTTGCAATTCAGTCCATAATTTCAATAGCAATATTATAAAAAAAAAGTTAAAGAGTCACTGCATTAGATAATAACTAGAAAGTTGGGGGGGAGGGGGGATGAGGTATAAGAGCTGAGACTATCCAGCAGAGGTAAATATAAGCAAAATACTCACCTTCCCACCCCACAGTCATCTTAGAAACCCCCTCTCCCTCTCCCTCTCTCTCTCTCTCTCTCTCTCTCTCTCTCTCTCTCTCTCTGTCTAAAGAGCTGCCGCATCAGCTGCTGCTGCATCAGGGAAACAAGGAGAGAGGGAGGGAGGGAGGGGGGGAAATGAGGGGAAAAAATGTTAGTGAGGTAGCTTACTCAGCACCATGTGAGATAACTTCACAATCTCCACTCTGGGAAGCACGTGGGGCCATTTTCTCGCAGGCAGATGAGAGTTGGCAATTTCCTGGATCGTTTTTTCTCGAGTCAGTTTTCCTTTCATGGATAAACTTTAATATGAAAAAAAATACAATCTTTAGAAAGTGTACCAGGGTAAAAAGGGGAATGAGAAATGGGATCGAGTTTAATTATATTTGCCAGATTATTCTCATCAACTTCATCTTTCAATTAGTCCATTTTTTTACTTGTGCCATATACATTAATATTATACAGTATATGTATATATACACAGTATAAGCGAAGAAGCTTGAATGGTCGCCAAGCCAATATGCAACCGACAACTCCTCATCCCTGAAGGATAATTCGAACCCAGAAAGCCAGGGCTCCATGCGCCTTAGCGTATCCGGTACTATACAGCTGGACCACACTGAGTGTACAAAAAGGTTGGAAGTCGTGAGACCCTTAACCCAACCCCCGACAGCACTCGATGGTCAATTTTATCGTACAGATATTTCATCGAATCACCTCG